CATCTGAAACCACAAAAAAAATTAAGTAATCTTGAACAAAACCAGGAAGCATTATGCTATCTGAGTTTCAAAATATGCTACAAAGGTGTAATAATCAAAGCAGCATGGTTTTGGCATGAAAACATACACATAGACCAATGGCTACATATGTATAGCCAACTGATCTTTCACAAAGGTGCCAAGAACATGCACTGGGGTAGGATGTTCTTTTTAATAAATAGTGCTGGGAAAATTTGATATACATATGCAGAAGAATGGAACTTGACTGCTATCTCTCATATACAAACTCCAGCTAAAATAGGTTAAAGACTTTAAGACTTGAAACTATAAAACTAGAAGTAAATATAGGCTAAATGCTTCAAGACATTGGAATGGACAGGGACTTTTTTTTTTAAAGATAAGACCCCAAAAGCACAAGCAATAAAAGCAACAACAGACAAAACAGTATTGTATCAAATAAGGAAGCTTCTGCACAGTAAAGGAAAAAAGAGAGTGAAGCTGTGGCCTACAAAATGGTAGAAAATATCTGCAAGCAATACCACTGACAAGGAGTTAATACCCAGAAATTATAAGGAACTCAAAAACTCAACAGCAAGAGCAAACAAAAAGCCTACTAATATGGGCAGTAGACTTAAACAGACATTTCTCAAGAGAAGACATACAAATCATTCAACAAGTATGTGAAAATGTACTCAACATCACTAATTATCAAGGACATACAAATCAAAACCATGGTGAGGTATCACCTCACTCCAGTAAGAATGCTTATCATCAGAAACACAAAAGTTAGCATGTGTGGATGAGAATGTGGAGAAAAGGGAGCCCTTGCACACTGTTGCTGGGGATGCAAATTAGTACAAAGCCATTATTGAAAACAATATGGAAATTCCTCAAAAAAATTAAAAGTGAAACTATTGTTTTTTTTCAGCAGCTTCATACCTGGTTTATATCCAAAAGAAATGAAATTGGTATATTGACAAGATATCTGCACTGTCATGTTTCTTAGACGCACCTGATTCGTAATAGCCAAGAAATGGAATCAACATAAATGTCCATTAACTGAATGGGTAAAGAAATGTGATGTGTGTGTGTGGGTGTATGAATACTATTCAGCCATAAAAGTATGAAATCCTGTCATTTGTGATAACATGAATAGGATAGAACTTAAGTAAAATAAGCCAGGACTACATGGTTCCACTCATATGTTGAATCTAAAAAAAGTTGATCTCTTAGAAGCTGAAAATGAAATAGTGGTTACCGAAAGCTGGGCAGAGTAGAGCAGAGGAAGAAATGGGAAAAGATTAGTCAACAGGTACCAGCTACTAAGTTATGGTTAGATAGGATGTCCTATTGCATATTAGGGTAACTACAGATAATGATATTGTACTAAATATTTCATAAAAGCTAGAAGAAAGGATATTAAATGTTTTCACTACAAAGAAATGGTAAATGTTTTAGGAGCCAGATATGCTTACTCTGACTTAAGCTTACACAATTGTATCCTATTGAAGCATCACATGGAATCCCATAAATATTTTTGTGTGTATAATTTTATGTCAATTACAAATGAAAAGGAAATCATTAATGTAATAATTAAAACAAAATAAAGAAGCATCAATAAATGAGTGCTATTGGGTATTTACAAGCAAACACATCTTAAGAATATCTGTACTTGCTATGTTAAACAATAACCCAAACCCTTTGCTTTTAAATACAAAAGAATGAAAAATCACACCTATTTTTCTGTTTATTTTATGAGATCATTCTGACATCTACTTTCTGAAAAAAGCTATGAACATGATCTATTATACTAATTATATGTCTATACTATACTAATCTATACTAATTTCTATCTATTATACCAATTGTTCCAAGGGTCTTAGAAATAACATTATCTCTAATGCAATTAATTTTAGTGATAAATAGTGCTTGTTATAAATAATTCATTGAAAGCTAAAAGTATTTTTGTCTTAATAGAACAAAGCAACAGATGGATCACAGTTCATCTACAGATTAAAAATTATCATTCTTTATTCAATATATACCTAATGATACCTGACATTTTATTCTACTTTCTAGAAAGCAAGGCAGTTAATAATAGTGCTGCTTGCTAAGCTGTTAGATAATAAATGGGAAAATATCACATCATAGGCAGTTTATTTATCCAAAAAGCAAAACAAGAAAATGGAGTCCAGGCCTGCCTGGAATCCTCCCGTGTTACTCAATCAAGGCAAATTATTTATTGTCTTCTGCCCAGGAAGTCCCATGGGGCATGAAATATTGATTTTGGAATTTTCTGGGCATGAATGACTGTGTTGTAACTGTGTTCTTTTATATTACTTCTTAATATATGATAGATTGTTTCTATGTATGCTGTGAGGAGGATGAATAACAAATTAAACATGACTATTTAATAAACACAGAATGTAAACACTAAACTCTTCATAATTGCTAACTTGGGGTCATAAAAGTTCACTGCATGGTGTACAGGATTGCACAGTTCACATCAATGTTTAGCTTCATTTTGCAATGGCATGACCTTTGCTGCATCCCATAAGACCTGATTCCAGTCTTCCTGTGAGTGGGATTGGGTGAACCTGGATATTCTTTATGGTTTACCTGGGGATTTTCAAAGCCAGGTCATGAGTGGGGACTCTAAGCAATTCAGAGGGGCTTAAACTGGGATGGTTTGTGGTATGAGAAGGAACAGAAAACTTTTCATGGCCTGTGCAGAAGAGCATCTGGAGCAACTGTGAAGATAAAGGAAGCCATTAAGCATGGAGGATGGCAACACAGTCATTTCATCAGCTGAATATTTTTGCTCTGTACCATTCCACATGTCCATATTAAATCTGGACTGAAAAAAAGGCTTACGCTTTTACAAATGTCATTAGTATTTATTTGTTTGTTTGACTTACTCATTTAATACTTCCCATGGAAGATGAAGCCTAACAGTTACTTTGAGGGCTTTAACAGTCAGACCGCCTGGGTTCTAAAACAGGCTTTGCCACTTTCTAAGAATCAGATCTTAAGCAAATTCTTTAACAGCCCCTCACTTGCCCTCAGTTTCTCATCTCTAAAAGGATGATAAAGGGCCTCCTTTGGGAGAAAGCCCATCTTTGAATGAAGGTCATGCCCAGCAACACAGAGACAATAGATGGGAAAGGTGGCCCCTGATGACACTTTGAATTCCTGCTTCCAATCTTGCCCAGTGAAATGCTCTTTGGATCTGATTTTATGAGGAAATTGGTTCTATCTTTGGTTTACTTAAATCACTTTGTATTGGATTTGCAACCAAACTGTATTGTCTAATGTCTAATATACATTTGCTTCAAATTGATTTGCTTTACCTGATCTTCTTTGTTGTCACTGACCTTATTTAAGACCCTATAAGTAGAAGACAACCAATGTATATTTCTTAAACATATAAATGAGTTAAAATGGATAAAACTCTCAAACCCATTAATTTAATCTCCCGTGCATTGTCATACCATTCCAGGCAATTCAAGTTCTATTTAAGCGTGTCTTGACATAGGAGCAAACCATTTGTTACAGAAACCTATGTAGCCCCGAGAGTCTTGCTGGATGAACTGAATTGCTAAGAATACTACCAGGAGAGATCACAGACTTACCTGGGAAGACCTGGATCTTTTCAAAATAATTAACTCCATTGTCTGCTCAGCCCCTTAAACTCCCTAAATACCATTTTATGTTTTGTTAATTTAATTTTTAAAATTTTTGTGGTGCTGGGGATGGAACCCAGGGCCTTACTCATTAAGCTAGGCAAGCCCTCCATTACTGAGCTACATCTCCAATTCAAGTACCATTCTTTATGGAAAAGGTGGGAAAAGGAGATCATCTATATGAGAACTAAGAAGGATGCAAATAGTATTTGTTGAATTTTCCTGCAGCACCCCAGATTTAAGGGCTCAATTGGTGGACGGATATACCCCTGCCAAATCAAGAGACCACTATACGTTTTTTTCCCCCTAGTCAAATGCACACGGGAGTCTCATTTCTAAAGGATTTGTGTAAACACATGCGATCATATTTGGATTTGGGGTGTGATCTTTGGTGGAATACTCAGTGTTCTCCATAAAGGGAATGGTTGGCTCCACCCGGCACACCTAAGTTCCTGTCAGCTCTGCTTTCAGGGCTCCAGAGGGAAGAGGCGATGCTGTGCTGAAGACCAAGTTCCTAACAGGCCCTTTGGCGGATCTTGCTGTCATACACCGCTCCTCAGAATGTTTTGTGGGCGTGGCTAGGTGGCACCTGCGCCCGGGCATCTCCACTCTTGCACCAACTCCTCTGTTTTCAGGGAGTAGCTCTGAGGTTTCCTAGCTATTTCCTCAAGAGTGCTTGATGAGGTCTGGTTTCAGTCCCCCGGTGGTAGTTCCCAGGTCCCATTACAGTTCCCCAGAGCTCGGCGTGTACGTGTGCGGGAGGGAGACAATGAAAGAGAGACCGAGCGCGGGCACCGAAGTTCCCGGGCTGGGCTCTAGTTTGCGCCCCGCACGGTCCCGGCTCAGAGCGCCCAAGTGCGCGGCGGGGCCGGGGAGCGCCGCGGCCCCTTTAAGAGCAGGGCCCGGGCTGGCCCGGGGGCCGCGGGAGCCCAGAGCGCAGCGCGCGGAGGAGTTGGGAGCGGCGCAAAAGTTTCCTCCCAACTCCGGCCCCGCGCGCCGCCGCCGCCGCCCACTCCAGCCCGGGGCCTGGGGCCGGCCCTGCCACGGTCGTCAGGGCCAGGGCCAGCCCGGGCCTCACTTTCACTTCGGCGGGCGTGGAGCAGTCGGCTGTTCGTTTTGGCAGCCGAGACGGAGCTGGGAGCGGGCCGAGAGTCGCCGCGCCCCGGCGCTCGCCACCTGGGAGGTGGCCCTTCCCGCTGCAGCTCCTGCCCACCGTCGGCCGCCCATCCGCCGACCTCGGCCGCACGCCCGGTGCCGGGGGCGCTGTCGCGAGCCCCCGGCCCTGAGGAGGCGCCAAGGAAAGGCGCCTCGCGTCTCCGGGCCCGCCAGCGCTGGGCGCCCCCCTAGAGTGGGGACGGCGCCGCGGAGCCAGGCACCTGTTCGGTGGGGCCCGGCGTGGTAGCCAGGGGCAGGATGAAAGTGACCGTGTGCTTCGGCAGGACGGGCATCGTGGTGCCCTGTAAGGAGGGTCAGCTGCGCGTGCGGGAGCTCACCCAGCAGGCGCTGCAGCGGTACCTGAAGACCCGGGAGAAGGTGAGCGCCGCGCGGCGGGGCGCAGGCGGGGCGAGGAAGGGGGGCGCGGCCGCAGGGCGGGCTTCGCGCCAGGCCCGAGGCAGTGCACCTGCCAGGTGCCCCGGGGACCCACTGGCGCTGTGGAGAGGATGCCGAACACCCAAGCGACTATCGGGCATTACCTGTGGCCCTAACTTTTTAAAAGAGGTGCCAATATAAGTGATCCAGGTGTCTTTGGGCACTTGGGGGCCTTGCCATTCAAAGAGTCGTGAGTGGAATTGGCAGCATTGGTCTCACTTGGGGCCTAAATCCAATCACTTAATCCGCTCTTTATCAAGATTCCTCAGGTGGGTAGAGTGCCAATGAAGTTTGAGAAGCAACGGTTTAGAACTTATTTGCAGGGGATGTACTTCTGAAGTGTGAATTTTGGCCCTTAAGTCCCGCCCCACTTAAGTTCCTTGGAGTGAGACAGTTGATTGGTGCAAATAATAAGTTATAACAAGAAGTTATAACTTCTAGGGCCTTTGGAGTTTTCAGCCTCATGAACTGACTTATCTCAGTGACTTACTTTGGCAGGAACTGGCTGGGAGGATGCTGTTTGCTGACACCAACCACTCCACATTTAGGGTGTTTTGAGTTTGATGCCAGTTATTCTGTGCAGAATTAGTATATGTGGATAGGGTCAGGTTTTGGATGACTATTGAAATGAGACAGATGTCCCCAGCTCCGTCACATGAAGTTAGGAACAAGTAAAAATCGAGTGACAGTTTTTTGAAAGGAATATGCAGTAGTTGTTCAGAAAGTCTCGCAGGACACTAGTCATTGACAGGTCGTGTTTGGGTAATATACGGGGACTCTGTGTCTTCCCCAATGGAATCTTTAAACGAACACTTTGAAAACCATCTTTTTATTTTTTGCATTCTTACATAGAACATTTGTATGCCCAAAATCCTTTTCAAACAGGGCCAGTCATAAACTCTTGTTTTAGAGTTCAGTGGTTCTCTTAATATTTACTATGGGATTGTAGAAATAGGGAATTGGCCAATCTCATGATGGAAAAATGTAATTTTTAAATTTCTTTTAAAATCATACAGGTTATCCAAAGTAAGAATACAGTTGAGAGATTTAAGAAATACTTGTATTTTCTATGCTTTCAGTAAAAATTACTGTACAGAAAGATGGATAGATACATGTGTTGTTTTGAACAGCCAAGAATTCGAAGATACCATAGTGAAAAGTATATTAGTATATTAAATATAAGTACTAAAGCTGGAATTTTCATTGATAGAACCGAGGTAGAGGAAGGAAAAAATTTAAAGTGCCTTATAAAGCAATATGAGAATCTATCCCAATGTGGGTTTTTTTTTCCATTGCTACATTAGTATGTGCTGTTTATAGCTTGTAATTCGATTAAAAACTGAGATTTAAACAAGTAACTATCTTTGATATCACTAACTTCTGAGAGTAGGCGAAGGTTAACAGTAACAATGTTACTCCAGACAAATTATTAAAATAGATCTTATTGAAGGATTGTTTACCAAGATGATAAATTTATTTTTAACTGGTCATTAAAAATAATCTGTACATTTAGAAGTTTAGAATAGGGGTCTGTTGTCCAAGTATTGAAGTAAACTACAAGCTTGTAAATAACAGAGAGAACTAACCAGGTGATTTTTAATGCATTGTAATTTGATCTTAAAAGGTGTTGAAAAGCTATTGATATTCTGGGCTAGAAACATAATTTATATTACAGAACCCATAATGTAATTGTATTGATTAGTTTACTATTATTTTTCTGTGTTTGCATTTATATATTAGTGAATGTGACATTTAAAGGTCATCTGCAGCCTATAAAACCTCCCTCTCACTTTTGGCTTTTAAAATTTCAATTTAAGTTGAAAGTGATATTTTCCTCTTCCCCAAATATTCCTCTTCTCTAGTTTCATTTTAAATAATTTTATGATCATAAGGCTTAACTAATAAATAGTATTCCTAATGTAACTAAAATGTCAAGAAATATTCTCACAATTTCCCCTCTTTTATACATTGAATTTAAAAAATAATGGAGAAAGACCAGAAATGTTAAAATTCAATTTGAAAAACAATTGCAATTCCCTGTTTATAAATCAGGGAAAGAGATTTAAAAGCTTGTTTCCCTGGATAGCAAAGTTTAAGCCCTGTACTTAGTAAAGATACCAACAGCAACTGACATGTATTGTGCTTACTCCATGCAGGCACTATGCTAGGTGCATTCCATATGTTATATCGCTTATCTCTCACAAATAACCTCAGAAGGTAGATTTCTCCATTTTACAGATTGAGGGAAAAGAGATAGGGACATGACTAATAAATTGTGGAATTGGATTTGAATCCAGAAGCTACATCTCTTGGTTGTTGCTCTCAACCATTAACTACATAGCCTACTATGTTACTGTATATTGGAATTTGCCCACCTTACTTTTACACTTTGTTTTAAAATGATAATTTCCTTTCTAATCACTACAATGTTACATCAACCTCAAGACTGCAATTTTTACCCCCAATGCTGGGAATGGATCCCAGTACTAGGCAAGTGTTCTACCACTGAGCTATATCCCTAGCTTGCAATATAGTCATAGAAAGTCCACAGAATTCCTCTTTTTTTTTTTCCTTTTGTAATACAGGTGTTTATGTTAATAGGGAGAAGTCTAATTTCTGAGACAAGTATTGCAAAATTTGCATAGCAAGTATGAAACAAACACACTTCTTACCATAATTACATACAGAGAAAAATGGGAAAAAGTAATGTCTGTGTTCTGCATGGGTCCTGAATAATCTAGCTGGCAGGAAGGGATGTTTCGAGATGGAGGATAGAAGTTCACATTTCTCAGGTTTAGAGGAGGAGTGAAGCCCAAGAAGGCCATTGTAGATTTTGTACACAGCAAGGAGAAGGAACCACCACCTGCTGAGAAGATACACAGAAAGCTGGTATTTATGGAATGCTGGGAAACAGCTGAATCAACATCAGATAAGGCCAGAAGTAGGTGAGATGCTGAAGAACCTGGGAGCTTTTAGGAAGGTTTTAATTATGTTCTGAAATCTGAAACTTTGAGGTTCTTGCCACCATTTGATGAACTCCACTGGGGCAGTGAATTGACTAAGGGGTAAGAATTATGGGATTTCTTATCTTTGGATGCTGGTGCTTTATCAGTGTCCTGAGCTCTAAATCCAATTTAGTGAAGTAGTTAGTGGAGATGATTGTCTACTTAAGTAGTCAAGATGGAGGGATCACTGAGTAATTAGTTAAATTTATCATCAAAATTATAGTGTCACAGGTGAATGGTTAATTGAACGATAACCTGCAGGGCTTTCAACCCTGGTTGAGTATTACCTCTACTTTTAACATTAAACATTTTACCTGAGTCCCTTTTGCCAAGATTTTCACCAAGTGGATGTGGAGTGTGTCCAAGGAGTAGATATTTTAAAGAACCCTTCGGGTGATTCTAATGCCCAGTCAGGGTTGAGAACAACTAATCTACCTGTAATCTTTGGGTATTGCTGAACTTATTTGATTTTTAACCTTTTTTGATGGTAGATGCTGTGTCTTAGACAGCTACAGACCAATCTTTCATTAGGTAATTTCCCCACTACTCTTACCCTGAATGAATTATTCTCATACAAGGTATTCAAATAAGTTATTAAATTGAACATAAATAGATGTGCTTAAACTCAAGTTCAAGTGAATAAAGGAAGATGCGTCTAGTAATGAGGGTGTGTGATGTGTCCTGAGGTTGAATGAGATAATAAATTCATGAAACATGGGGCATGCTGGAATTTTAATATCTGGCATATTAGATCTGACTGTATATATGAGCACACCTTTTATTTTTAAACCAAGAAATCTTTGGTAAAGTTTCTAAAGTTAATCCTTTCTGTCTTTAGATATCTTAAAGAATTTCTTTGTTTTGCCAGGGGGGGCCAGCTTCTTAGACATGGGAAGAGTTTGAGAAGAGTAACAACTGATTGTAACATAGAGATCTAAGTGAATTTGTACAGTAGTAAGAGTCTGCCATGATATTGTGGGACTAACCTGGGAGAGTAGTTAGAACTCTTGTATTTCTAACATTTCAGCTTTTGATGTCTTGTTAACTGCAAATAGATTTTACAGTTCATATAGACATATATAAGGTAGGCCCAGACTGAGTTCCTAAGATGTATCTCAGTTTACTGGGGACTGACTTCCTTGAGTGCTTTAATCCTCTGCTCTCCTGATGTGTAGACTAGATGCTTTTGCATCAGCAGGATAAAAACTAAATCACCAGCAAGATGCATGCTCTGATTTGGTTTGGTTCTGCTACTTGCCCTGAACAAGTTGTAGTAAACTAAGTTGTTTGTAAACTAAGAGGGTTGGGGAGTTTCTGTGACCTACAGACATATTTTTTTAGGTTTTCTTGGTGTTATATCTTTTACTTACTGTGTAAAGATTTTGAGATTTTTTATGTGAAAATCTATAGTTCTGTCTTATTTTGGGCAAAACAATGAGAATTCTGATGGTCTTGTGCTTTACTTTCTACATAGCGTCTACCAGTTAGAGCTAAGACCCTCTGTTCTCTTTAGAAGGAATTATTAATGCTCCAGTCTCCATTATACCCTAACCACCAGTGAAGGTAAGTTGCTATTGTTGTGCTTAACTTTTTATTCTGTTCTTATTTCCTTTCTTATGGCCCATTTAATGGAGTGTTTCTATTTGCCCCAGGCTGCTGGCAGACATTTGTTTGTGCCTCTGGTCTCCTCTCTCTTCTGTCTCTCCCTCTCTTTTTCTCTCTCTCTCTCTCTCCCTTCCTCCTTCCCTCCCTCCTCTCCTTCTCCTCCCACCCTGTGTATAATCCACTGACCCACACATATGATTTGCTGACTGGACTTTGGCCCAATTTAGTTCACTTGAGCCAAGTTTATCACTCTGGGATTAGGAGCCACAGCCCTGATTTGGTGCTTGGAGTGTTGGGCTCAAATAGCTCAGCTAACAAAGTGTTCATTTCCAG